CATGGCAGCTCACAATGATTTGTGAGTGACTCTTGTCCCAGGGGAATCCAATATCCTCTTCTGGTCTCTGAAGGCACTGCACCAACTTAATATAAAGCCAGTCATTCAGGCATAACATTCATGCACATAAAATAAAATGGGGAGATCAATCCTTGTCACAACACCCTGGGGTTCACCGGGAGATGATGATTTCAGAGCCTGTGCAGATCAGGATACTTAGCTAGTGGGTTATAATCCCTGGGAGATTATGATGCTCTCTCGCAGCTAGCATTGCCAACATCTACCCTAGTGGACATTGCTGGAATTCTCTACCTGCCTGCACAAGAGCAACTCCCTGAGGTGTGGAGCTGGAGTGGCAGATGCTGGGTATTTCTCTTCCTCCACTGCTGTCATCTCAGCTCTGTACCCTTTACAAGGTTCCAGTCCCTCTCTTGCTGAGCTCCAGGCTTTGCCCACTGTCACTGTCCTCAAAATGCCACCTGTTGCTTTGGTTCTTCTCTGTGCCCAAGCAGGTGAGAGCGAGGTATTCCCATTTGGCCACTTGTCCGCCTGTCATCTTACTTTAACGGTCAACATGCTTTGTTTGTTCTCTGCTTTTAGTTTAGATAGTCAGGGACCATCAAAAACCAGCCAGAACTTGGCAGGAAAGAGCTTGCCATCGGAAACTGTTGGGACAACACACCGTCAGCCAGGTTAACATCTGCCTTCTTCCAAAGATCATTTTCAAAACAGCAAAATCAGAATTCTTACCTTAATATAAAATAAATGCACAAATAAATGCCTCTATCTTGTGAATTAATAAAAGGGGATGTAAGGGATTAAAATTTTCACAAGGGAAACCCGAAGAACAGGTATATTTATACATAGGTGATCAGAAAGGCTCAACTGGATTTGCTAATGCATGCACAACTGGATAGTATCCTATAATGAACAAAAATATAATGCTCAGAATAAGTGTTTGTACAGAGAACATCAATTACATTGAACTCCACTGAACAAAACGAATCTGTTTCTAAGATGAGAATTGTTTACTGTACCACTAGTTTCTATACGAATAATTATAAAATGGTGAAAGATAATAAAAAAAAAAGATAGGCCCCTATAGAATCATACCTCCTCACCAAAAGGTCTCCTAGGGCTGCTCAAGATTCTGCTGACAAGATGATCCTGTTTTTGTTCCTCCGTTAAAGTCTTCCACTGTCTTTCCTGAGGCTCCCATTTTTAATGTGAATAATACTCACTGACTAGGAACCAACCTGAGGAGTGGCTAAGAAAAATGCAAATAACTCATTTAGCCAATGCCTTTACTTGATTTTAGATAGGTGTGTATAAGGCTGGAGAGATGGCTCAGCCTTTCAAAATGCTTTCTGCTCTTCCAGAGGACTCAAATGTAAGTCCAGCATTCACATTGGAGACCTCACAACAGCCTGTAACTCCACCTCCAGGAGATCTGACCCTTCTTCTGTCCTCTCCAGCAAGGCCCCCAACATGTGCGTGTGCACCCTCCTCCCCCGATACACACACAAATTAAAACAACAACCAACAAAAAACCTTAAAATTTTCCAATTCTAAGCACAAATTGTGCTCAGCTACTCTGAGTGCGCATGACCTAACTGTCTTTGCACAAGCTGGCCTTGCTTGTGCTTTAGTCAGGCAGCCCGGAGTGGAGCTTCTCAGCTATGAACAGCCTTTGTAAAACAGACAATGCAACTTCTTGATCCTGGAGAGCCAAGGGAAGGAACCCAAATTTACATGCTTAAAAATTCCAGCGGTGGCCGTCATGGATGTGTTCTAAACCATAAAGAGACCCATGATTGTGTGGCTTTACTAAGGCCCCGTCTAAGAAAAAGAAGGCAGCCCCTGCGGTGTGTTCCAGGTCTCCCTTTGCCTCTGAAGGAGTAAAGCCGGAAGCGGAAGTGCAGAGAGCCTGCCCTGATGCTGCCCCTACAGGAAACGCTGGTGTGTGACGGCCCCTGATTTCCTGTGTCCTGGTAATGTTTTCTAACCTTTTCTCACCCCACCCTTCTTCCCGCCTTCCCCATCTTTGTCCTGCCTCCTTCCCTTTGTTCACCATTTCTCTCCCAGTCTCCCATTGCCATGTCCTCCTTCCCGCTTCTCTCCTTATGTTGTAATGACCCGTGCCTCCCCTCACCCTAGTTAACTTTCGTCCCTTTCCTTGTGAGCATCTTTGAGATAAATCTTTAAAATGTTTTTTAACATTTTCAACATTTTAAAGATTTGTATTTGCTTTTATTTATGTACACGTGAGCCGCAAGTATGCAGGGACCTGAGGAGGCCAAAGAGCGTGGAACTAGAGTTACAAGGTGGTTGTGAGCCACTCCATGTGGGTGCCAAACTCAGGTACTCAGGGAGAACAGCGAGTGTTCTTAGTTGCCAGATCCATCGCTCTGGCTCTATAGCCTTTTCTTTTTAGAAGGCTAAGTTACAAGAAAAGATCTGAAAAGTCCCCTCTGGAGCCCTCGGAGCTTGAACCCTATCCGTTTTTTCCTCAGACCTGGAAAAAAAAATGGCTGAGCTTGTGTTTCAAGAAATGCTGATTCTTCCTTTTCCTTTAGATGAAAGTTGGGATAATCCCAAGACATTTCCTTCTGTAACATATTTTCCTCTTCTCCCCAAGCCAGCTCAAATGTGTTCACCTTGTCAGTTAAACTGGGTTGAGGGTGGAAGGTAAGACCTGTGAGTATCACATTACTGAGAGGCATAGCTAACTTTAAACTTTTATTTATTTATTTATTTATTTATTTATTTATTTATTTATATTTGCATGGATATTTTGCCTCCATGCATGTTTGTGCATCATGTGTATGCCTGGCCTCTCCACAGAGGTAAGAAGAGGGTGTCAAACTTCTTGGGACTGTAGTTACAAACCATGTGGGTACTTGGAATTGAACTGGTGTCTTCTGAAAGAGCAGGCAGTGCTCTTAACTACTGACTCATCTCTCCAGCCCCTGCATATCTAACTCTTAAAGAATCATTTTCTGACGACTGGCCATCAGCTACTCATAACACAGTCTGCAAGGACATGACAAACCATAGCTTTTTTAGCAAACATGAAAAACCAGTAATGTTTCCCATGAAGAAACTGTACTCCATCAGCCAGTTTAAGCTGTAAAACCTTAAAAGCAATTGTGTGTTTTCTTCTGATTCTTGCATTTTCTCTTCCTCTTTCTCTTTCTTTCACAAAGATTGTATGTGATGGTAATTTATAAATATTCTCCCCAGTAATGCTCAATTTATAGAAAGAAATATTTCTGAGTTGTGAGTCCCGGAGATATGATCCATACTTCAGAAAGCGACAGAGATGGCGGCAGTGGGGGACCCGGGGTGGGGGAGGTTTTCTGGCTTTGGGAGTTGTGAGGACAATGATCATAGTTTGTAGGGAACAATGCCAGGAGTTGGGTTGTTAGAGAACCTGCTCTGGGGACTGTAAGAGTCAAAGGACATGGAGCAAGGAGTCTGTATTCTGCATGGAGTGCACTCTTCATCAGTGAAGAGAGAGAGAGAAAGAGGGAGGAAGAAAAAGGTGCACAGAAAAAATCCTTGAGGTAAAGCAGGAGATGTTGTTTTGTGTCATGGTGGAGTGTTGGGCTTTTCTGCTTAAGGTAGTACAAGATTTTAATCATGGGGAACATATCATGGAACATGTATTTGAGGGCAATTCCCCTCATAGCTGGAAGAAGAAAGGGAGAAGGAGCCAAGATAGTGGCAAGGAGGCACCTGGTGATTTTAAGTGACACTTTGTAATCTGTGTCTGTTGTGGGGTATTTGTACACTGTGTGAAGATGTGTCACTGTGATTAGTTTAATAAAGAGTCGGATGACCAGTAGCTAGGCAGGAAGAAGTTAGGCATTACTTCTGGGGACAGAGAGGAGTCTGGAAAAAAAGAAAGAAAGAAAGAAGGCTTTGCCAGCCAAACATGGAGAAGAAACAGGAGGGGCAAGATAGAAGAGAAATAAATTCCACATTATAGAATATAGATTAAAATAAATCATAAGAGTTAGTTAGGACCCAGCCAAAGCTATAGGCTGAGCTTTCAAGATTAATAAGAAGTCTCCGTGTTGTTATTTATGAACTGGCAACCCAAAGAAAGATCTGAATACATGTATCTTTTCACACCCCCAGTTCAGCGTTTCCCGCCATGCACCTACTTCTTATTATACATCACCCCACAAAGCAAAATAGGGGAGTCTAAGCTTCTTGAAGTCAACTTATTTGGCATTCCCAGTTTCTTCCTATGGCTGGGATCAGCTTGGTGTCTTACCCCATGCAGTTTTACTGAGCCCTGTGCTCACAGAGCCTCCCTCTCTGTCCTTAACTGAGTCCTCTGTTGCCACCATCTTGAATTTTTACACTTTTGAATGAATGCCTTTCGTTCTTAGCTTAGAGTGAGCTTCACACTTTGTTTAGAGAGGGTCCTGCTTGCAGCAATTTATGGATAGTAGATGACCAGTAATTCTTCAAGCCCTGGTGCAAGAACGGCTTGGCAATTACTAGATTTTTTTTTCCATGATTAATAAAGACCATCATGAGCCTTTCCATAAAGAGAACAGTGCTTGTCTTTCCCGAGGACAGGGAGACCCTCTTCCTGAGCCCATGCTGACACGCTTCTCACTGGCTCCTCTGCCTCACAACGTCTGGACCATGGCCAGAAGCTGCATGGAAGAGGCCGAAGGCACTCTTGACATTTGCAAAGTTAAACACTTGGAGAAACTTCAGGTAGAAAGGATTAGGCTAAAGCTAAAAGCGGCTGGCCTGTGAGCTCCTTGCCTGTTGCCTGCTTCTCCTTGTTCTCATGGTTCTTAGCATGTTTATTCTCTCCTCTCTCAGTGGCCAAAGGACAAGTTTAAAATTTCTGATTTCCTCTGGGGAGCCTGAGAGAGGCAAGAGGCATTGAATACAGGAAATCATGTGGAGAGAATTTCTCGTTTATTACAGTCCCCAGATTACTTCCCTTCCCCAGCCTCCGCCTCCACCTCCAGCCACACGGTGCCTCCCAGTTTCTTCCTGCACTGAGGGACAGCTCACAGTTCACCTCTGCCCTGAGTTCTGGAAGCCTGGGAGTATCTGAAGACTGATCTGGAGAAACTCAACCCTCCTCAGGTTACCTGAAGGAATGGACCGCCCTTAAGTTAACGCCTCCACTCAGAGGTCTGGGGGCAGAGCTTCCATATCGGAGTAGACGTGAAGAGGCTTCCCACTGCTGAAGAGGAAGGTAGGTGCTTGTGTGGGTTTTTTTGTCTCCTTGGATGTGAGGCTAGCTACTCTAAAGCAGATGGACGGGTGCCTGTCGGCCGTGGCTACCTGTTCTCAACTTGTGTGCCCTATGGAGATTCGTTGAGTTAAAGATTGTCTGGGTAAATCGTGGTGGCCAGAGAGTATTCTGGTTGGTTGTTTTGAGTTCGCGTGTCTGGCTGGAGAATAGTGATCCAGCAAAGACCATGAGACACAAAGTGTGACCCTTGTTTTCTTTGGAGGAGTATTTCATTGGGGGTGGTGTGTTTTGGCTTCTGTGTGATGAAGGGGACATATTTGTGCTCTGACTTGCCTTTCCCCCCGCTGTGCAGACCTTTGCCACAAGTGTTTTAACTAGTTTTCAAGTTAAGAATATAGCAAGGTAGAGAGAGAGGGCGCTAGCTACAGTATAGGTGGCTTTCGCTGACACAACTGTGGTTTTTTATCTTATTTTTATTTCTTAAATAGACATGTTGTTCAGGGATTTAGTGGACATCTGTGTTGTCTTCCACAACTTTCTTGCTCTTCCTGAGATTCCCTGTGCCACATGTCCAGCGAGAGCTACAAGCCTGGCTTTACCTGTTTGGCATGGAAATCCTATGCAGGCATGATGCTTGTCCTTTAAGACCTGGCCACCTCGGCTGGGTGTCAGTGAGATGACGGTGCAGCTGAATCCCAGGGAAGGTGTGGCAGATCAGTTCACGGAGTTCTGATTTGGGTGGGGTGCTCCCATGCTTCATTGTTTCACGTCCCCCTCATCAGCAGCCTTTCCTTGAGGAGAGAGATTTGCCCTGACTCCAAAGACTATCAGCCAATGTGCTCAACTCTTTCCCCTCTCTTCCTTGGTCAAGACGCCTCATTTGTTTATGTTTTTGCCACCGTATACTTAGCTTTGGCATCACCTTTCTTCACCCATCCCCTGTTTTTTGCTACAGAGTTCTTGGCAAATGTAACTTTTGCCAAATTGTGCCTTTGTGGTTCTCCTGCTGAACTGTGTCTAATATATACACCCCACTGCCTACAGCTCTACTGCCTAAGGGGCTCAGGGACCGTTTGCATCAGGGATCGCTTAAGGGCTCCTTAGAAATGCAGACACTCATCTCTTCACTAGACTGAGTCTGTGCTTCATCCAGACTGCTGGGTGCGTGACACGTGTACTAAATCTTGCCAGGTTCTGTCTGCAGGGAGGGCAGATGACTCTTTCAAGGGCTGCTCCATAACACCCTGCCAGCCTCCCCTCTCACCTCCTGACTTCCCAGCTGTGCCAAGTGCCACTTCCCTCATTGTATGATCCCTCTGCTGTTCACCTATGATTGGGTGTGCTTTTGTCTCTGCCTGGATACCTCTCTTCGGTGCCCCCCCCATTACCCACTACAGCCTTGTTTTACTCTCATGCCCCCCACATTCAGTGTCTTCAGGTTTTATGGTACACAAAGTACGGTTGCTATGGGTTTTCTCATCCTTGACTAGACTCTGATGCTTTCTTTCTGAATCCATGCACTCAACACAACATCTGGCCTATCATTCGGATCAATCGGCATTGTCTGAGTTCCTGAATGAATGGATGAAGGAACACATGAACGTGTGAGCTACTATAATCATTTCAATTAATGGTCAGAATGAGATGTATAGTTAGAAGCTTAGAAGGCTGGAAGTGTCTGTAGCATCTTCCCGTATTCCTTTGATCTGAGACTTTGCCGGACTCAATTATCCACCAAGTATTTTGAGGATATACTGTGTGCCATGAGTTTTTTTTTTTAATTCTCTACATCTCCCTGGATAGCTAACGTCTCTGGTTAGGCACTTGCTAATCCCTTCTCCCCATGCTTTACCACACTAACTCAGAGATTTACTCTCTCAGCCGTGTGTACGGAACACCTTCCGCTCTCAGGCGGCTGGTGGTGCAATAGGAACGTGATGGCAAATGAATCGATGTGACCCTGAGCAAGAAACCTTTCAGTATCCTCCCTCATACTCTTCCCTCTGCCCTCTAAAGAAAAGAAAGTGAAGAAATTGAGAAAACAAAGAGATCACAAATGTTAACATATGCAAGTAAGGTATTTAAGATGTCATAGAGCGGAAAGACTCCCATTGTGTTCTGGGGGTCTCTGGCTGAAACTCCTGCACCTGTGGCTGTCTTGCCTGGTGACTTTGGGTCTCCAACCTTTCTCTAAGCCTTGGTTTTGTGCGGTGGTGGAAGGGAAGCGTTGGTGTCCTGTTGTACAGAGGTTGGGGTGCCTCTGTTCTCAGATTGACTCATGATAATTGTTTTGAGAGAGGATCTTATGTATCCCAGGCTATTCTTGAACTATGTAGCCAGAAATGATCTTGAACTTCTGATGCCCCTGTTTCCACCTTCAAGTCTTGGGTTTTCATGTCTGCCCTTATCACACCCAGTTTAGACTATACCGGAGCTGGAACCCGGGAATCATGCATGTGAAGCAAGGTCACTACTGAGTTACCCCTCACCCCTCACGATAATCTGAAGGGCAGTGAGCTGTGGTTCTCCGAAGCAAAGTTGCAAAGAGACCCTAAGGGAGTCCTTCTCGCTCTGCCTTTAGCCCCAGCCATAGGTGTCCACGTTGCCCTTTGGTGCCCTTTCCTAAGGCACTGCATAGCAGCAGCTCCAAGGGAGCTTGCAGGAAAACGACACTTTCTATGTGTACTCAGACCCAACCGCTAGACTTGGGTTGACCCAAGCCACTCTGGCCTTCTCGAGTGACTTCTCTCTCTGTCTTTTAACTCTCTTTTTCCTGATCCTCTACCACTGACGTTTCCTAATAAGAACCTCCTGGACGTCCAGAACTCTTGCTTGCTTCCTGTTGCTCACACCGCTTTGCCTCTCACTTACTGCACCTTTGTACAACAGCCCTTCAGCTCGTTTCCCAACTACTCAAATTTGCACTCTTCTCTATAAATAACAGGCAATAGCTCTAGTCATAAAAGGATGTTATGCTACTTGGGAGGGTTCTAATGAACAACCGTACATAGATTGGTTTATATATTACAATCTCTCTCTCTCTCTCTCTCTCTCTCTCTCTCTCTCTCTCTCTCTCTCTCTCCCTTCCTCCCTTTTGTGCCCCTTTGTTTTCTTTCTTTCTTCTCCTCCTACCACCCTTTCTGAGCTGTATGCTGCCCAGGCTGGGCTCCGTCTTAATAAATAGACCAGGAGGGAAGAGCCTTGAACACTTGGTCTTCCTGCCTCTCTCTAAGTGCTGGGATTCCAGCCGAGCAGCGCCTCACCTAGCTTTTCTTTTAATTGCAGCCTTTTACCTGTGGGGTGAAAAGAGGTAAAGCCAATTTTAAATCCCTTGTTGTTGCTTCCTTCCTTAACTAAGTAGTTGTACCTTGCTAAACCTCAATTCTGTTTCTGAAAATCGGTACTAGCACACAAGGTGAAGGGAAGATGAAGCAAGCGGCTAATGTATGTAACAAGCTGCTTGGCTGAACTATACCAGCAGAGCTGGGGAGATGGCTCACGGGCTAAAATGCTTGCCTGGAAGACTTGTGAACCTGAGTTCGCATAGCCAGATGTGGCAGGGCACATCTGTAATCTTAGCTCTGCAGGGAAGGGGAGGCACAGAGACAAGTGGCTCTTTAGAGCTTTCTGCTCCCTAATCCAACCTAATCAATGAACTCCAGGTTCGGTGAGGAGACCGTCTCCAAAACTAAGGCAGGGAACAACAGAGGGGCACCCCAAAGCCGACCTCTGGCATATGTGAGTGTGTGAGTGTGTATACGCAGTCACACGGAGTCACACACTCTAAAAGAGTGCTTAAAAGAGGCGAAGATGGTGAGAGTGCGGATAGGATCACCCATCGAATAAATAGCCGAAGGACACGCAGGTGTTTGAAGGAAGAGCTACATTGTGTAAAATGTAAAGATTGCCTTCAGTTACTCTAAGGTCTCTGGTATGGTAAAGAGAAAGCCATCAGATTATGGAGTAGAAATAATAGGGTAAAAGATTTCAACTCAGTTTGTGGAAGGATTTACCCACCGTCAGAATTGTCTAAAAATGGGTGAGTTGTCCTGCAGGGGTGGGGAACACCCTGTCCTGGGCAGCTTTCCAGCACCCCAGGAGACCAGCGACCAGGGTGTTCCCAAAGGGATGCCTGGCTGGGTGGGGTCTGCTCGATGACATTGAAGGTCCCTTCCCGCTCTTGAGAATCTCATGACATCAGTGCCCTAATCCAAGCCACCAGATTAAAAAAAAAAAAAAAAGCACTAGCCTGGAGTGACGTGAGCTGACTTCTCACTTGCTAGCCGTATTTTTTGACTGCAATAATTTAAAAATAGGACCTTTGCAACAATAGACTAGTCGGACTTCCAGGAAAAAGGCGCAAAAAAAGAAATGAGACCACTCGGGTCACTCGGGAACTTGACTGTGGCTTGGTCTTGGCCCTTGCATTACAAACACATTCTTATATGGTAGGAAACTGCTGAGTTTGGTGACATTTTCAGCCGACATAGAATCAGGCAACTGCCACAAGCTCATTCTCCAGCTGTGAAACAGGAGTCCTTTGTGGATGTACATGTAGGCTAAGACTTTTTAGCTACTCCAGAGATCTGACTGAAACATAGCAAGGCTAAATCGTGCATGCTTTTCTGATGCCATGAGTCTGGTGTCTGACCTCTGGGGAAAGACGAAAGCTAGCTGGGGTGAGCTGCCTTCTCTAACATCAAGTTCTCCAGCTTTCTATCCACCCTTTCTTCTTATAAAGATGACCGCATTGATCATAGCCTCTGCTTGACGATAACTTGGGAGTTTCCTAGAGATGTGAGAATCAGCTTAAGTGGGCTCAGGCTGTCTAAACTTCTGGCTAATACTCAGTTCTCTGTAGACTCAGGAGAACTGACTCTGCTTGCAGTCTGTTTAGGACCCTCACATCCTTCTGAGGATGCTGGGTTGTATTCCAGCACACCTTGGCTTCCGAAAGTCTCACACTGAGATCCCAGGGGTAGGAAAAAGAACAGCAACCG